ACGGGTTCGAATCCCGTTGAAGCCCTGATTTTTTTCAGGCTTCTTCTTTCCAATTGCTTAAATTGGAAAATTTACTGCGATGATCATTCCTCACTTTCACATAGCCTCTTATTTGACCTGAAAATCATAGCAGCAAATTAGAATCATTTTCTGTTATAGGGGTTGTCGTAAGGGGCCTAAAAACTAAATACTAAAAACGTGCGACCAGGAGCAGAACCTTGAGTCACCAGGTCCATATTGCTGTTTCTCCCCGTTCTCGGATCTCACCATAAACTACTTTTTTTTAACTAAAATCCAAAAACGCTCACATTATTTTGAACAATAACTTAAGTTTCTAAATCTTTCTTTGAAAGATTGGAGAAACAAGAAAACGTCGCCTTTGATCTCCAGTGATTGCACACTAATCAGGATGATCGTGCACGATAGCTCAGCTGATCAGATTAAAACATTGCATTAGTACATTAGAAGAATATAAGAATAGAATATAATAATTCTGTTGAGGCCTATAGTTTGATAGTTGTCCAAGGAAATTCTATGTTCAAAAGACGGTATTTGCATAAACTAATAGTCAATAAATAGTCAGACAATAGTCATAGGAAAGAAGTAAAAATTGAAGATGCTTAACAACTCATTACGAAATTAAAGGACAACTACATAAAAAAAAAAAAAAACATTTATGGCTTAATAATGTATTTTGTACCTTATAATTCTTTTGTGTAACAGTTTTCCTTGTTTGTATTCATAGATCTACCACCGAAGCCCCCTACTCAGCAAAGTAGGTATTTTTTTATGTTTTATCTATTAATGTTGTACTGCAAAGTTACCATCTTTTTTTTATTGGTCGGAATGGGTTGAATTTCATTAAGGTCCGGAAACCTGACTAGCTGTTAAGATTAAACTACCTGCTAGAACCAGAGGGATCGGAGGGCAGCTAAGAGCTTGTGTACCATCCCCGAGAGTGAGTGTAGGGCTAAGTGAAGGAAATAAAACTATATGTTAAAGGGTCTAGAAATTCAATGTGTCTGACCGTGCCACAGCTAATGTGAGGGTGCTCGGGTGTTATTGTTTTTCGCCATTTTATACATAAAACGACAAATCAGTTCCATTATGCACTGGGTTTGCCTTAGTTGGCGACAACATTTGGCGTTGAAAAGAGAGTCGATCATATGGTTTTGTTTCTGCTATATAAAGACGTTTGATTTATACCCTGCACACCGCCGGTACATGATGCCTCTGAATTACCCAGTTGTCGTTTAGCAGGCGGGGAAAACTGTACCTTTCTGACCTGATATGTTTGTTTTCAAAAAGAGCAGTCATTTCATTCCACTTTCCTCACTGGGGACTGCTTTGAATTCAAGAATGCTGGAAATGCTGGAAACCCAACATATTTGAAAAAGCCAAGAACATTTTGTGCCACAAAACTTTAAATTGGCGCCGAAACTGGGTCGCCAGCGTCTAGCAACTCTCTCGTTAAATGTCGCCAGGTAGAATAAAAGTCGTGTTATTCTGAACAAAACATCTGAAATTAACTATTGCTCTTATGAACTGATTTATGTTACTAATTTATGTTACTAATTATGTTACTAAATTTATGTTGCTAATTTTCAGAATGCGAGGATGAGCCTAATTACCAACGCGGATGTAGAAAGAAAACCAAAACCAAAAACAAACGGTTTTGTTGGGACCATCAAGACTTTTCTTTCATACATTGCCGGAAGTCTTGTGAGCTTTGCCCTTTGTCTTGAAGGTGAGTAAAATAACTAGTAATTGTACTGAGGTTATTCGCTCTTTCCTCCATAATGATTCAAAGAAGACATGGGAAGGAAAAACCTCGCTGAACAATGTTCCGCCGCAATCGGTTAGGGATTGATCGTCCACACCTGCTTCTCCCCTGCACCGTTGGCCTTGAATTAATAAAGAAAGCTAGAGGTACTTGAACCTTTCCTGCCCTGTTCTTGAAGATCGCGGCGGTTAAGGGTAGAGGGGTTGGGAGGGAAGGGGGCGGCAAATAGTTCCCCTGTTTGGCTCTAAAAGTACTAATTTGGCCTACTCAAGAGACCACGATGACCTACAGTGGCTGAAACGTTCAATTGGCGATCTTGTAAAAATCTTATAAAATTGGGGCCTTTACACAACTTTCCCTCATCTTCAATGTAAGTTCCTCCTTCCTCCTGTGTTTTTTCTTAGCAGGCTAATAAGTTGATCGGAACATGTGCTTATTGATGTCTTTCGTATATTCTTGTAGCGTCTTAGTGGCAGCCATGAAAAAAGAAAAGATGCAATGTTGAAAAATTGACAGAAATCAAGTAACCTGTAGCAAGACTTCAAGTAAACTAGACCAACGTGTGAACACATTATTAATTTATTGTTTAGCGAGCTTTGTTGGTCAATAGTAAGAAATGTGGGGTATTACTGTAAGGGTTGTACTACTTGAGTAAAACAAACGTGATTTGACGATGAAACAATTAATTAAATAAAGTTCATATACTGTATTCTTGAACGAAGTTGCTAGAATTCAAAAATAAATTTTGAGACCAAACTGAAAACAACGTTTGCCCCTTGGTGCTACCAAAAAAACAGGAAGCGCAGTAACATGTCGTTTCCAAGACCTTTATCTACGTAACTTTATGTTGTAGTTTAAAATCTTATTTAAAATGTCCAGTTCAAAATAATTTCAAACAAGCTTGACTTGTTCCAGATTTATAACCATAAACCTGAGACAAAGAAAGATTATGGAAATAAATCTGAAACAAAGGAAAATTCAAATCAATCTAGTTTTAAATCATATTGATCTAGACTGAGGCCCCGTCCACTCGTATCCGGATAGTTTTGAATTCGCAACTTTTTCTTTCCGGATACGGCTTCCGTTCACACACATCCTGCGAATTAACAAATCGAATGTGGTTTAACGTGGTCTGTACTCTTATCGACAACGAGTTCGCGTCATCGCAGTGGTCAAAATGTTGTGGACTCACGAGGCGCAGCCGATTGAGTCCACCACAAATTTTGACCACTGTGATGACGCGTACTCGTTTGCGATAAGAGTACAGACCACGCTAAACCATATTCGATTTGTTTTTTACCACAATATCAAAGATAACGAAAGAAATCTTTGTCAAGATTTGTTGACAA